AAAACTCATTTTTGTCGGTCTGTTTGATAGATTGAAAAATGGAATTGCTCATCAGAAAAGGGGGCCCTGTATTGGCAATAGTTTCGAGATACGGCTGTAATTACAACCTCAGTCATGCGGGTGTATTTTTTTAAACGGCAAAAACGTACCTCCTCCGAAAATCGGCTTTAGGGCCAAGGTCTCTTTCGACAATGTTTATGATGTCTCGTAGGTAAGAGAGTAAACGACTGGGTGATAGAGAACTATGATTCAGCGATGCCAGGTTGTTTACTATTGATACTCGGGTAGTTGATGTGAAGTGTGATTAGCCGACATTTCGAATATGAGGTGGTAATGGATGCACATTAGCATTACGAATTATAATGCTGACGATCGGGATGTTGATTCCTTGAAGGGAATTGGGAAATTGTGAGTGGTCGCCAGATTTTGATTTGTGTGAGAGATCGAGAATTACGATTTCTGGGTTCATAGTGATGTCGAAATTCGGGATGTTGACGATTGGAAGGTAATGGAGTATAATAGTTGGCGGTTCTTCATAGGCGTGTCTTAAAGTCGCCGTCGTCATAGGCGTATCTGAAGGTCGTCGGCGAGCCTTAAGGTCGTCGGCGTACCTTGAGGTCGTCGTCTTCATAGGCGTGCCTAAAAGTCGTCGTGTTTTTAGGCATGCCTTAAGGTTGTCGTCTTCATAGACGTAACTTGAGGTCGTCGTCTTCTTATGCGTGCCTTGAGGACGTCGTCTTTAAGGACTTGCTTTGAGGTAGTTGTCTTCAAAGGGCTTGCCCTAAAGTCGTCATATTCATAGGCGTACCTTGAGGTCGTCGTATTCATAGGCGTGCCTTAAGGACGTCATATTCATGGGCGTGCCTTAAGGTCGTCGTCTTTATAGGCGTACTTTGAGGTCGTCGTTTTCAGAGGCGTGCCTTAAGGTCATCGACTTCATAGGCGTGCCTTAAGGTCGTCGTGTTCATAGGCATGCCTTAAGCTCGTCGTCTTCATAGGCGTTCCTTAAGGCCGTTGTCCTCATAGGCGTGCCTTAAGGTCGTCGACTTCATAGGCGTGCCTTGAGATCGTCGTCTTCATAGGCGTACCTTAAGGTCGTTGCCTTCATAAGCGTACTTTGATGTAATCGTGTTCATAGGCGTGCCTTAAAGTCGTCGTCTTCATAGGCGTGCCTTGAGGTCGTTGTGTTCATAGGAGTGCTTTAAGGTCGTCGTCTTCATAGGCGTGCCTTATGATATCCAGGTCGTCTTAGGTTTTTCGGTCTCGGCTGCTCACTGTGGCTACGTTCGAGAGAAGATGTCCAGGCCTTCTGTGATGGATCTGAGCTCGTTTGGGGTTTGGCAGCTCACGGGAGATATGTTCGCTAGCCGATGGGTAGGTCTTTGCAGATAGATTGAAACTTGTTCGGGTTCTGCAGCTCACTGTGAATGGTCCGGTTTGGCTGTTTGGGTCGTCTGCAGTGGCTAGGAAACTATGTTAGCTAGCACTACGGAACTCCTGTGGAACAACCAGCCGGGGCACCTGTGTAAATAAATGCCCGGCCACTCAACTTAATGAGAGCTAGTTCAAAATGTATTCCCAGCTAACGATTCTGTTGGTCAGAGGACAAAATTGATTCAGAAAATCAGTAACTACTCTTTGGCAGGTTTCCTGCAGTAGCAAGCTTGTCTCATAGTAACCTAAACTGAACACTACAGGGTGAAATAAAAAATGAAAGCAAAAAATGTTGGAAATTGCATCCGATTTTAGAATAAGTTTAGATTTGTTCGAATAGGTCAACTTTGGAACGAATTATTGAATTTAAACGGCTAATGAAACCGTCAAGCACTGACCGAATGTTGGTCTGCGGTATTTTGGCCCATTCCCGGCGAAGCGCTTGCTTGAGTTGATGGACACTTTGGTATTTTTAGTTCCAACCTTGCTTTCCAAAATACTCCAGACACAATAGTTCATCGGTTTGGTATCCAGAGATTTTGGTGGCCATTGTGCGTTGGAAATGAAGCGAGGAACCTCATTTTGTAACCATTCTTGATTGGCGCGTGCTGAGGACAGGAGTTGGAATGTCCAAGGTCAGCCGTCAAAATGTTAGATGCCCAAGGCTTTAATACACCCTCTAGACTATTTTCGCGATAATATTCGTCATTTACTCTGATGCCATGGTCGATTAATACGAGCAAAGGGCTACCATCTGCTGGTATAGCGGCTCACACCATTGCCATGGCCTTGAAGGCGCTTGAGTTCTGGTGGCCAAACCTAAGGTGCACAATTTTCAGCTGACCTCTTTGGCAAGTAAACGCGATCATTTTGTTTGTTTACAAACTGCTGGACAACGAATGTTTTTTCATCGGATAAAACCAAATTCGGCAGTTCACCACTTTCGGCCAAGCGAAGCAACTCTTTAGTTCTTTTGAGTCTATTTTCTTTCTGCTGTGGTGTAAGTTCTTCTTGGATTTTCAATGCCTTTACCCCGAGCTCATTTTTCAATATTTGCAAAATGAAACATTACGATATGTTCAGCTCACGAGCCATTCTTCGGGCCTGTGATGTGGGTTTCGATCAAGTCGCGTCTTTACTTTTCGAACAATTTTTGCTGATGTTGCTGTGTTCTTCCGTCCACTTCCTTGACATCGGGCTACGCTACCAGTATCACGGTAACAAACGATGGTACGAGACACAAAAGAGTTATTCACATTTAAATGCTGGAGTTCTCTAACGATAGCCACTTGTGGTTTTCCAGCCAAATATAAAGAAATCACACTATCACGCTTGAATCACGAATAACTTTTTTTCTGGAAAATTCTCACCAAAATGCTTTTGTACGCTTGTAAACAATATAATGAGCTGTCACTGGAATAATTTTAACAGCTGTCGGAAGAGTGGCTTAGAAATGACAGCAGTCTGAAGTTGGTTGCAGTTTTTTTAATCTCACCCTGTATATGTGGCCGGCATTAGCAAGTGAATGAGAATTATTTAATTGTTATATATTTATTATTTTACCTATGTGGTAAACGACATATTCCCAATTACCATTAGTTCCTACAACATGAACCGCTTGTTTTCAGATAGCTTCAATGAGTGCATAGTGTTTTCAGGTATTTTTAATTTTAAACCCTAATTTTTTGGTATGAGTACAAAGGAATTTTAATTTCCAACTTTGAATGAAAAAAACCAAAATTATTTCTTGGAACTATATTTTCGATGCATTTTAGATTCCAGAGAATGAAAGTCAATATTCGATTATGGCGGATCCCAACCTGTTTTAATAAAAAATCGCTGGCGAAAATATATTTTTCCTTCGACAATTGCTCTTCACTGCGTCAAAACAAATAAACAACAATATGTGTTTCGGTAGAAAGAGACTAACGGACACACACACTCACTCGCACACTTGATCTGTGTGTAGTACATAAAAATAAGAGTTGTTGCACGATGTTGCGTGTGTATAAGTGGCATACTTTGAGAACATGTTTTTTCTGTTCCCCCTTCAGCTCAACTAGCATTTTCATGGAACGGCGTTGTTTTTTTTTTATTTATTTTTGTCACAATACGACAACTGTCATTTGTCTGTCAGTTATCCATGGCTTTTACTCAGTAAACACAAGCACACACACACAGACACACATCGAGTCAGTCTCATATAATGTAGGGGTATATATTGTCTGTTCGATTTGCTCCTTCGTTTTTTTTCGGGTTTTTTGCCTTGCAATACTGTCACATTATTGTTATTTTCGCTGGCATTTCTGTTGATGCCAAAGATTCCTTTGCAACAATAAGAAACTCTGCATCTGCAGCTGTGTCAACGTTAAAAGGTTATGGATTGAATGGGGGATCTGAGACTTATTGTTCCACCAAGTTTTCGTTGTTTTTTATTTTTTTCTTTGCTCTTTTAATGTGAACAAAATATTGTCGTTCATCTGGTGAATTAACATTGGAAATTGCATGGCAATTTAAAGGGGGAGAGAAAAAAAGAAGACGGAACTAATAAAAATCACTCGATAAGTAATTGAGGTTCGAACGTATAATTTATATGCAGCTAGACAACACTCATACGTCACAGGGGGTCTTTGAAATTATATTACTTGCAAATATCAATCTATTACTATGAGGAGATCCATGCAAATATTAGAAATGAAATATATGGAATATTTAACTGATAGCCTCAGAAAGTTCTTGTGGGGAAAATACAGATCAGCAAAAGAGAATATAACCTCCAATCATATGGACATTTTTCGAAAAAATTTCCGATAGCAAAAATATTGTTATACCCTACAACACTATGTGTTGGGGGTATTATTTAAATTAGAGTTGTGCCAATCTCGATCGGTCGAAAGAACTAGCTCCTTATCTAATCCCGTGAACTCCGGCCGTTTGTGTAAAAACTCTGCGTATGAGTGATAGAAAATATATTAAATCACTCATACGTTTAGGAACAGGTGTACTGAACTATGAACTAGATTGGGGTAACTCGTTGAAATTCAGGTTAGATATAGAAAATATGACCTATAAATACAACAAAAATCAAAAGGAATTTGCGTTCCACATGACGACCATTTTTGGAAAATATGACCATGAGAAGTTGTATAAGCTTTGGGGTCTTGGGTAGCTATTTAATTATTTTAAGGATTTTTTTCCTTTAAAAATAGCCAGGACTGCCTATATCTCAAATTATGACCTAAATCAGCCAAACTAGTCTTTATTTATTTTTTTTACCAAATTTCATGGAATCCTTAAAATTACAACGAACGAGACGTATGTAAATCTATTTTCGAAATTATTTTTTTTTGTCAAATTTCGTTTATCACTACTCTGCTTCAGAGCTTCAAGAATGTTAAAATGTATACCATGACTACCGATTTATCCCTAATGATATCGAAAAAAATTGCAAAACTAGTAGATTCTTGCAGGTTCTGAAATAGAGCACACATTTCTATTCCAAGCTTCTCAAACCCCATTCGAGTGGTTGAATTGTACGTATATACATTTATTTCAGTATGACTCACTTTATATGATCCTAAATTTTTAACAGAACACGCCAATTTGATATTGCGTCCAGCAGGTACGGTTACATTTTCAATGTATTCAGTAAATTCGGGTTCTTCTGTAATGGCTGTGGGAAGAAAGGGTAATAAGGAGAAAAAGTGAGGAAAACATTAATAATAAATCGAAAAAAACTAATTGCGAAAAATACATAAATAAGAAAATAAAAAAAATAAATTAAAAGGTTAAATTTTATCTGAAAATTGAAATTTGTTTTCTTTCCTTAAAATCATTACAAAAACATTCTTTCCGCTGAAGAAGTCATTGGAAAGTCTTCTCTCCAAGAAGACTTACAAAACACCCCCACTTCTTAAAAGATCTTAAAATGGACTTTCCTTAATAGAAGACTATCAAGCGGACATATGTATAAAGAAGACCTTCGAGGCCACTTCTCTCTTTGGACAACCTTCGAGAGGTCCTATAAAAGGTTTTTAAGATACTTCAGTACATGAAAAACCTCCAAAAATCTCCTTCTTCTTACAGACGACTGTAAAAAAATCTTATATTTATAGAAGTTCTTCATAAGTTTTCTGCCTTTAGAAGGCTTTGAACAGACTTTCTCACTATAGGATTTTCGAGAAATTCTCTGTCTAAAGACCTTCTTCTTTCAAGAGAAAATTTTTCAAAATAATTTTTCTATATAGGATCTTCTAGAGGTTTTCCTTGCATAGAAGATCTTATAGAGGTCATGTTTTTATAGAAGACTTTCGAGAGATATTTTTTCTATCTATAGACGTCTTCTTTCTTTAGTAGGCTTACAAAAGGTTTTTTTTTTCATAAAAGTCCTTCTATGGGTCTTCTTTCTACTGAAGGCCTTGAATAAGACTTTGATGAGGTCTTCTCGATTTCAAGAGGTCTTCTTCCTAAAGGAGACCTTCTAGAGCTCTTCTTACTATAGAAAACTTTCCAGATGTCTTCTTCCTATAGAAAACCTTCCAGAGGTATTCTTTCCATAGAAGAACTTCGAACTTCTATAGAATACCTTTAAGAGTTCTTCCTTCTATTATAGATCTTCTAGATGTATTTTTCCTACAGAAACCCTTGCAGAGGTCTCTTTAGAAGATCTTTTAGAGGTCTTCTTTGTACAGAATGCCTTCTGAAGGTATTCTTTCTATGAAAGACATTCTAGAGGTCTTCTTTTTATAGAAGACCTTCTAGAGAACTTCTTCGAAAAAGATGACCTGTTAGAGGTATTCTTCATACAGAAGACCTTTTACAGGTCTTAATTCTATAGAAGACCTTTTAGAGGTATTTTTCTTATCGAAAACCTGCTAGAGGTCTTTTTTCGGAAGAAGTCCTTCTAAAGGTCTCTTTTCGGTAGAAGTTCTTTAAGAAACCTTTTATCAATAGAAGAGCTTTTAGAGGACTTCTAGAGGTCCTTTTTATTGAAAACTTTCTTTCTCTGGTATAGACCCTCTAGAGACATTCTTTCTATAAAACATATTCTTAAACATAATATTTTTTTCTGTAATGTTCAAAATAAGACTTTCAAGATTCTTTCTGTCTATTAAGGTTGTCAAAGAGGTAATCCTACTGTAGGACAACTTCGAGGGATATTTCGTCTATGGAAGACCTTCGACTATTGAAAACCACATAGATCTCTTAGAAGCCTTCTGTCTATCAATGTTTTGAGAGGTGGTCCGTGTATTGAAAACCTCTTAGAAGAAGACCTTGAAAACGTCTTCTTTTCATAGAATTGTTTTGAAAAGTCGTCTGTCTTTGCAAGACTTCTGGAAATTGCTTCTCTGAATGGTAGACTTTTAAAAAACCATTTTGCTACAAGAGACCTTTAAAAAGTCTTCTCCCCAGCGAAGGTTGGGTAGACAGGGAAACCAAGGGGTCCATAGGGTTCTATAGGCCTTCTAAAGATATTTTGTTGTCTCTTAGAGAAAAACTCTCGAAGAGTCTTCTTTCTAACGAATGACTGAAGAAGGCTTAATCCTGAAGATCTGAAGATCTTCAAGAATGCTCTCGTTCTTTGAAAGGTATTTTCTTTATAGAAAAACTGCAAAGGTAAAGTTCCTCTCTGCAGAAGACCTGCGACAGGTGTTTTCTTCATAAAGAATGATCTTCTATCCCTAAAAGGCTTTTGGAATGACTTGTATCTGAAACAGATATTCAAAAGTAGTTTTGTCCACAGAAGATATGAAAGGCCTTTGAAGGTTCTTCTTTAACGTTTCTCTCTTTGAAAAACTTTCCAGTTCTTCTCTGTTTTTAAGGCTTTGGAAGGGCCTCTTCTCTGTAGAATAATATTGAATGTTCAGTACGCCTTAAAGGACCTTCCACAAGTCTTTTGTCTATAGTTTTGTCATAAAATACCTTTAGATGGGTTTCTCCATATAAAAGACCTGTCTTCCCTTCATAGATATCCTTTGAAGGGACTTTGAAAGGTGCTTTCTTTATAGAAGATTTTATATGGTCTATTTTCCAAAGAAAACCTTTAAAAGACATATAGCCTTTTGGGAGGCTTTCTGGCGACAGAATGAGTCTAAAGGTCTTGTGTTTACAAAATGATTTAAAGTAAATACTTCGAAATTTTTTTGTTTAAAAACAGGCCTTAGAGAGTTATTTTGTCGGTTGAAACCTATGTCTCAACAAGACCCTAAAGGGTTTCCATCTATTTTTTTAGAAAGACATTTTCAAGATCTTTCGCCTAAAGAAGACGTTTTAACGTTTTTTTTTTTTATTTTTTTTTTATCAAGGTCTTTTGAAGGAAATCAGTTATGGAAACCCCTTGCCGATCGAGGAGACACCTCAAATTTGTTTTGTAGAGACATTTTTTTTTTAAAGGACATTTTCTCTAGAAGTCTTAAAGAAGTGATTTGCCGATATGGGTATTTTTCTGTCACTTTTTGTATATTTTGTATGGGCAATTACGTGGAAGAAAATATAGAAATGGTTTTGAAATGCAATTCCGTGTACACCCCTGGTTTGAAATTATCACTTTCATTTTAAAGCCAAAAACAATTTCCAAACTTTGCAACTCAAAATATTCCCCATTATTTTGTCACTTTTCCATTGTCTCCATGCCTTTGTTCACCACCGAAATTTAGCCGGAGCTTATTAAATATTAATTATCTTTCCAAAATCTAAAATTAAAATATTTTCCCAAACACAACAACAGCAGCAGCAGCAACAACAACAAAACAATGAATAAACAAATTTATGTGATTATTGGAATGAATTTTGATGATGATCGCATTTTAAAATGGTTTAATTATCTAAATAACATTATAATTTGTCGGGGCTATTATCCCGCCGCTCAAATGGTGATAATGACAACAACAGCAAATTATGGTTAAATAGAGTCATGGCTTTTGTTGTCTTGTGGCCCAGTTGTTGTTTTTGGTGGTGCTGCTACTGCTACTGTTGGTGGTGTTGTTGTTGTTATGGCTGGTGGCAATGTCAGTGGTGGCGTTGGCGTTAGTCACTTTGTTGTGGTTTGTTGGCTTGTGGCCATAAAATAATAGCCGCCTGCTCTCCTGTTGCCACCGACACCGAAGTCAGCCATCAGCACTCATCCATCCCACCTCCCACGCTCGCTCTCATCACGCGCTGTCCATTGCTTATAATAATATATGGCGGTGTAATTAAATTCAATCAAATTTCAATTATTGAACTAATAAATTAACTGGCAATAAACACAAACTGTTTACCACCAGCGCCAACAACAACAACGACGACAAAAGAAGCTACAACAATAACAAGGGCAACCATTCAACTGGCTGCCGTCACAATACGAGAAGCAGAAGAAGAACAATAATAGCAACACTAAAAACAACAATAATACAGTTTTGTACAAAATTAAGCTGCTTGTTACACACATACATACAAATACCGGAGCCTCGTATCCGCATCCGTATCCGTTTCCCGTAACAACACCTTCCTTTCCTCATAAACACACCCCCACACATAGCCACACACACAAACAAAATTCATAAACATATACTTGTGTTTACATGGCAAAACCTAATGATATGTAAACGATGTTGTTAAATGCTTTACACAATTGCCCATGAACAAACACACACACACACCCCCCACCCCCCCACATATGAATAACATTACACACACACTCAATCACCCACACACACATATGCACATTGTATGAATTGTTTGATTTACAAAGTTAATTTGTGGAGTCTGATGAAGAGTGGAGGGAGGAGGAGGAGAGATTTGACTGGTTATGCCTTTTATTGTTGCCCAATGAAATCAATAGAATTAGGGTCCAATAAAGGCAGAAGTGGTGGTGAAGGGAAGGGGGGGGGGGTTGGCAAAAGCACGCTTCCAAGTACTTCATTGAATTTCCAAGAACCGTAAATTACATCAACAAGTCTTCAATTGTAACATGTGTTGAACGGCAAAGATTGAAATTATTTGAAAATATTTTGAAGTTTGTAAACGGTTTGGTTCGAAGAACGGCTAAAGTTTTCGCTAGCTCCAATTTGGTCGAATTTTTGTGCATAGTATTAGATTTGTCCTAAGATCTGGTGCTAAGATTACTTACAATATATTTTTTGTATTATATAAGTGCGGTTGTTAGATTTAGAAGATTTTCCAACAGAATTTTAGTTTTTTTTTTAATTTTTTGGTTCCTCTTCTATTGAGTTTACGATCTCGTCGCTTGGGTAAAAAAAGTTTTTTTTCATAAGAGTTATTCACAAAATAACTACTGGGGAGAATATCCCAGACAAAAAACAAGGCAACTGATGGGGATTGGTGGCTCTTTCCGAAATATAGGTATTCCCTGCCTTGCCCCCTGGTAAACATTACCATCGTTCTCCACTAATAAACAAACGTTGTTGTTTATGAAAAACAACAATAATGGGATTAAGCCTGACCATTGTGCAACAACAAAATAATTTGGCACCCCGAACAAACATGCCAACACTCTTCTTTTTTATTTATTTATTTATTTTTTTTAATTTCTTGGCCAGGTATCAATTTTAATTTTTTTATTTTGTCAAGAATTTACCGACTATATGAATTTTTATAGAATATTTTTACAGAAGAATGGCCAAACGAAGAATTGTTTCAAGGATCTTTTGAAAAAAAATTGTGGTGGAAAAC